GCAGCTCTATGGTTAAATTGACTTTGTTTTCATCCACCGGTTCTCAAATGCATGATGGGATCGGGAATATCATTCGGCAATCGGTGGTAGGCTTGTTTGAAGACCCCAAGAAATTTGAATGCCGTTTTCTCTATGAAGACGGTTCAAAGGAGAATTTCGTGAAAGTCTCTGACGATGGATCATTCAGCAGGAAGTCAGTTTCCCTCAATCAGGATCTATCAAGGGACATGGCCATCTGGTTCGGACAGGTACCTTATACACTAACAGCACGCAAGTGCTCAGAGCCTGATTAAAATAACCTGTCATTAACTAAATTATCTTAATTTTAGTTTAAAGCAACTGAATAAAAAATATTTTCAATATCTTTGAATATCATGTTTAATTCTTACGCTTGCTATTTCTGTTATGTATTTCAATATTTAAACAATGATGGAAGAGCTATGGTTTTCAGTGGCCGCCATTTATACGGCTGACAAAATCTTCTAGGAAAACTTGTTCGAAACGAAACCAAAAATTAACTATTATCGTTAATGTGTAATGATGGATTATGTTTTACCCTTTCAGACGCCAGATAGTGCTGCGACTGGTATGTTGCTTGTAGTTTATTTGATAATTGACGCGCATATACAAGTTTATAGCAAATTGGTCAGACTGAAACTATATTCATATTTCGCGTATTTTGATTTCTCAAACTAACTCTGCACTCTTTTGTGAGAACATCAATATTTGGCGTTCAATTAACGCATGTGTTCTGGGTAACACATGAATTCAATGATCGTACATCAACGCGAATTATAGCATACACAAGATTATTTAAAAAGATGAATGCACAGGAAGGCCCCTTTCGCGTATCCGGTTCAATCAGATGAAACGGTTAAACCTGAAAGAAAACAACAGGCGCAGGTCTGAACCGCGGCTGACCTCAGAAACATTCGGCATTTGTAGATTGAGGGGTCGAGACGTGCCTGAACGAACTTAAAATGCTGACTACTGCTAGTTTGCGTATAATTTCTTTATAGAATAAGGTCAAGCCACATGAATATTTTAAGATACACTAAATGATTAAGTGGACGCGTGAAAAAAGGGAAAACTATCCTTTATACAATGTTATTTATTCTCCCAAACTGTGCATTTTTTTTAGCTCAAAGTGCGTTCGTTTATCGTGGAATATTTCTGCGCCACCTGAATCGTTTCAACCAGGACTTTAGTGAAGTCGTAATAAAAACACTTTTTGTAGTGGAGTTTAAAATGTAAAAGTGACTTGCAATTTGCTGTTTATTTTTCAAAGGCACCAGTTTTAATCCAAAAGAAGATCCAGAGCTTAGTCCAAAACGTCTGAGCCATGTTGCAAAACATATCGGGAATAGCTATGCCGTAGTGTGTGCGTGCCTTGGAGTAGAGACTGCTGTCGTCGAACAGGTAACGTGGCTTGGTGCTACACGTGTCTCTTTTTTTGCTATAAAATGATCTCCCTGACTGCCTGCAGTAATAGAGTGAAATAGGGCGAAATGTCTCTATGATATTTGACAGTTGACTTTACTGATTTAGAACACTGTCGCTAAGTGAGTTCTTTACAGCGGTACATAGTCAAGACACCGGTCATTTGCACTCTTTCCCTGACAAAGGAATTGACGTTTTCGAAAGCTCACGAAATAAGTTTTCAATTCCTGTCTGTATTCAAAACAAACTGAACCTTTACGGAAGAGGGCATCATAGCGGTGTTGACATGCACGGTGTTATTCGCGTTGAATAAATTAACGCGAAAATATCCACACGCTGTCTACTTAATCGTATTATATTTATATGTTTCATATCAATAGCCAAGCAAAAATGATCAGTTTGAAGACGCGAACACTTCCACACACGCAAATGTCTACTTTTACACTAATTACATGCATGTAGAAACTTGGAATACGTAATAACATACATGTTATGCAATGTAATAAAAAGGGAATGCTTCGCGTCGCCAGTAAAATTCAGTTTGCGACAGTATAATCATGATATACCGCCGCTTATTTCAAAAAATACAGTCGCGCTATCCCCTTAATAGACGATTCTGAATAGTTAATTGCTAAGTCATGATTGTGAAAGAATAAAATAAAATTGGATATGAAAAGAAAAAGGCAAAATAAGTACACTCAAAGTATTAATGCTTCACAAAGTTTCAAAGTGGCAATAACAAGATTAAGTAAGTACTAAGTACTGAAATCAAATTGCTCAACCAGCATTAGATTGTGTACATGTACTTATGTACGATGTATGAGGCACTTTTCAATATAGTAATTGAAACATTGAAATATGTCGGCGTTAGGCAGCTGGAAAACGAATCGATAGACACAGGATCGAGGTTTTAAGTTATTCCAATCGGGGTCTCTATGATTGGATCATTATAAATATAATCAGTACTTTTTGGCACACTTTAAATGTTTGGTGAACCTTAAAGCAACACATATAGTTAGGTTAGAATGAATTCATGGATATTTATGTTTTAGGTAGTAAATAAGGAAATGAAGTCAGATATAATTGATTTTGGAGCTTAAAGAGGTCGCAATTGTTTTTAATAATTTGCAAAGCTTTAATGCCTGTCTAGAAAGGTAAGATATAGTAAGCCTTTCTATTATTTTAATAGTGCAATTCTATGAACAAATCAGTAGGAAATCCGTATAACAAATTAATGAAAATGTGTTCTATTCAAATTCGTTAATAAACAGGAAAGATATCAGCAAAAACATCTTGACTTCCGATCACAACTGACGAAAATTCTCCTGCGTTGGCGGGCATTGCAGAAAGGTCGTGCTTCTCTTGGGAAACTTATTGAAGCGATGAAAATGAACAACCTTTCTCACGAGGAGATGTTATTAGATCCTGTCTGGGCTGGTGAAACGGCAATGACAAAACTCAAAGATGCAGGTAAATTATATTCCTCCATTTATGTTTATAAAACATGTATGTTTCAGTTACGATTTTTATTTGTAAATATACTTTCATTATCGTGTCTACGTCACGGATTAATATTTCTAATAAAGTAGTTAAAGAATTACCATGGAAACATGCCAAAATAATGATAACAATAAATTGTATTTATTGAGGATTAAAAAACTTGATTTAGCCTAAGGCTAAACTCCCTCAGGGTCCTCTATATTAGTAAAATGTGTAAGTTTTACAT